AATCATTTAGAACAGATTTATTTTCTAAAAGCAGAAGTTCACTGGATGCGAAAATCCAACACAAAGCTTCTTTTAACCATCGGGGCTCTTCAATTTCTTATGTGCTCCGATAGAAAGAGTTGGTTGGTGTGTGAAACCAGATGTAGAGATGAACCAGTGTGTAGTTTATTTTTTATCTATAGGAGGAACAAAGAATGAGAGAAAGCTGGAAACAGTGAACTGAGGAGTGTGAACGAAAGAGACTGAACAGATATTACTGTTAAAGGTCACTCTTCTCTTGACAAGCGGTGACATCTGATGTGAAGCATTTATGCGTGTGCTGCCTTCTTTTTTTAATGGCACTCTATTGCTGCCATATGCCTGGGAGCAGCTAAGCCTGGCCGAGGCCTCTGAGGGGAAGGCCTTATGAGTCTAATAAGACAGCAGAAGAAGACAAAAGCTCCTCTGAGACCTAATTTGCAAACAAATAAATACGAAGAGAAAAGAGACGAGGGAAAAGCCACATGTGAATTCTCCTGCAGGAGTATTTTTCTATCCCGAAATCCACATTTATTCCTCCTCTTTGTTTTTATGGTGATATGGCAGAAGAAGAAAAAAAGGTTGTGAACCAAGAGCAAAAGCCGCATCGCTAAAAATGGAACGTGGATTTTAAGTGTGGCTTTTCAAACGCTGAGTTACAAGTTATGATTTTCAGTAGGGAATAAGTGGTAATTAGCGTGCTGGGTGTTGCCACGTGAGTGGGTGTATAAATAAATAGAGCTCAGGGGTGGGAAAGGCAAAGAAGCTGCAAAACAACCTGGGTTCAAGAGAACACCACTGCTTCTGTCACTGCTGCCGTTCACATGATCAGAAAAGCCGAAGCCCTCTCATAGAGCGAAGAAGAGGCACAAATTTAGAAGTGGAACAAGTTGATTATTTCTCCCCACAGATGTTTGTGCATTTTACACATTCACAAGACTTTCCTCCCCTTTTTAGACCCGTTTTACAGCTTCCTTCTTGGCATGTATGATAGCTTGGTGAGGGAGATGTTGCACCAAAATATCTAAAAGTTTGTACTGCGATTGAGCAGCAGCACAGATAAAAGATAAGGAGGGGTTTGAAGCCCTAAGCTATCTTTGTCCTATTTGATTTACAACTATCGGTGGCAACAATTCTGTCCCTGTGTTTGACAGGCTGCTTTTCAACCCGCCTTCAGCTGTTGCTTCTGGGAACGACTGTAAACCACCCCCAAAGACAAAGTCAGACAGCATGTTGTTTGAATGATCCGG